ATAGAAGTAGGTAGATTATTCGTGTTGGTGTTATCAGCTCTTAGGAAGTGCCTAGTCATTGTCACAGGACTGTTATACAATCTGCTAATCATTATGTAATAAAAAATGAAAAGGATGCTCCTGTAATTCTATGTCACCAAGCAGAGAAATCTCAGGCCTTCAACCCTGTCTAAAAGACGAGACTTCAGAGACTGGCTGTCACGTAACCACAGAGTTGGAAGGAACTTACTAGCTTAGCAGTCTCATGCAGTCATGTAACTGTTTCCAAAGGACAGTTTTGAGTTGTTCAAAGAAAGTGAGTTTAAGTGGGACAGTTTTTTTTTTTTGCTGGAATTCCTGTAAACACCATCACCTTGCAGGTAATTAAGAGAGGAGATTAAACATGAGCTGATAAAGGCTGACATACACAAAGACCTTGAGTTGTGTTCAGACCAGCACAGATAAATACAGTAATTGCTGTTGTGTGAAAAAGCAAGTTGCTGTTTCTCCAAATGCTTCCCCATGTATTATGTCTTTAAGTCCTGAGACAAGACCTGCCAGCTTTAGCTGGGGACACCAAGGCTGAAAGAGAGAACCCTGCAATCAAGGAACATCTGTTGGGCACCTCCTGATAGACATGTACAGAGCTCAGGAGAAACAGATAAGTAAGGAGCTCCAGGTCTTGTGGGGGTGTTAGGTTTAAAATATATATATAATCCACTGTGTTAAGAGCTGAGATAAAATTTGGAAACAGTGTTGTATGGAATTAGAGGAAGTTGGGTGTTTGCCTAGAAATCAGAGAAAGCTGCAGAAAAGCTGCTAAGACTGAGCTGGAGCTGGAAGCCAAGAAAAAGAGGAAGGGAAGAGGTGAGGGGAAGAACATTCACACTGAGGGAACACCATATAGAGGCACAGAGGACAGAAGGGTGGAAGAGCATGGTTAAGTGCAGGGAGCTAAGAGCATGTTGGAGGAAGAGAGCTTGGCACCAAGTGGGCTCTAAGTCTTCAGTGAATGTCTGGTGGCTAAGTTAGAGAAACAAAATGAATGGTTCAATTGCAGTATGTTCACCAAAGTCTTGAGTATGTGCTTGGCACTTTGCAAGCACGAGGGATTTAGTGAGCAGAGTCCTCCAGGAGCTCCCGGTCAATGTAGTGGGTGGAAATAGAGACAAATCCATGAAGTGAAGTGACAAGCCACCAGGATTGATGCCAGTGTAAGGCCATGCAGGTATGGCAGGTACCAGGTAAAAAGTCCCAAAGCAAGGAGGCCATATTTTGGTTTGGTCTTTCTCAACACTGGCTTCCATTGAGGGAATTTGTAGGCAAAAAAAAAAAAAAGGTAATTTCCTTTGACTTAACCGGATTTAAAATACAAGCAGAACATATATTTTGTCATGACCGTGTAAAACAAAATATATTAAGATTTTTACTATATGCAACTACTGCAGTAAGCAGTTTCCATATATTAATTCACTTAATTCTTACCTGAATCCCAGGAGGCAGTATTATTATTATTCTTTTACAAGTGTAAAACCAGAGACTCAGAGAGGCTGATTAACTTGCCAAAAGTCACACAGCTAGTAAGTGGCAAAGGTAAAGTGGGACCTCCGTTCCTAACGACAGTCTATCTACAGTCCTCTCAAAGCTGGATTCCGTCTCGCGTGATCTTGGGCATCTCGCTCTCTTTAAGCCTTGGTATTTCCGTCTGTAAAATGGGGGCAAGGGGTCCAAATGTCATCTTCTGCTCAGGCGCAGTCGGAAACGCAACTCACGGATTGTCTCACAAGATCCAAGTCCTGGAAACGAAGTCAGAGAGTCGCTCCAATGGCGCTCGCGAATACGAGCCTCTTCCTGCTCGGCTCCGACCGGTTCCCATGACAACCCGGCCAGCCGCCATCCTGGGAGGAGGCGTGCGTCATATCCGGCTTGTTTATTTTCGGGTCCTAGCCCCAGCCGCGGCAAGGGCTCTTTAGGTCCCCAAAGCGGGATTCCGCGACTTCGCAGCTCGCTAACTCCCGCTTCTTCCTCCGCCGCCTGCAGGAGTCCGCCCCCCTTCTGCTAAGCGCGCAGCCGTGGCCCAGCCTCCCTTGGGTCCGCCTCTAAGGGACGTCACTTCCTGGCCGAGTATTTCCGGGTCGCCGCTGGCCCCGGGGAGCTGGTCTCGGTTCCCTGCAGCCGGCCGGGGCGGCGAGAGCCCAGCCGGGCCCGGCTCCGGCGGCGGCCTTGGCTCTTCGCTTCCTTTGGCTGGGGCGTCTCCGGCGGCAGTGCCGGGGTAAGTGCAGAGCGGTCTCTGGCGGAAACAATCTCCGGGGCTTTCCCGTGCGGAGGGGGCGTCCGACTCGGCGGGGCTCCGCCAGCCCGGGAGCAGGGTGCCCTCGCGGCCAGCGGCGGCGACGGTTGCATCTGCCTTTTCAGCGCCCCGGGGACCCAGCTTGTCTTCAGGATCTCTACCCGCCCTGAGGGCTGCCTTGCAGACTCAGGACTGGCCATGGATGGCTTAGGGCAGCTCAGGAGGAACACCCCTCTTCGGCGACTAATCAAGCAGGAGGACACCCCGATTCCACCGTAAGGCAGTGACCGTGCAGTTGTCCCCAGTCCGGTCTCTGGCGGCAGAGCTGGGTTTGGGCTTACTGTGTGACCTTGGACAAGTCACTTCATCTAAAGAGCCTCAGTTGCCTAATAGTTAAATGGGAGTGAACCTGCCTGCTAGGGCCTTAATGGGGATGAAATGAAATAATGCCTGTGACGCACGATCTCTGGCATACAGCAGGCGTCCAATAAATGAGAGTTGCCGCTAGTTCATCCACAAACCTGTGGGGAAGGCCCGAGTTTGGGACTAGAGTGTTTTTCACAACTGATGTGGGCCTCCGAGGTTGTAGGAATTAACCAGGCTGGGGGATAGCAGGCGCTAGCTTCTGTCCCCTGGAGGGAGGGCAGACTGCTTCCTTCAGAGCCCCTCTGAGAGAGGCAACTGCCACTAGGGAAGCCCGCTTTCAGCACCGCTGCGGTTATTTGCAGAGGTTTTCAAGGCCTCCTCCTGAATTTCTCTGCATCTGGTTGGGGTGTGGGGACCCTCAGGTGTTTCCCAGCCAGTGGAAGGTACCTTGGATGTGTCTCAGGAGCCTCGAGTTTGGAATGAGTACAAAGGAGTGGAGTGCGGGGGTGGAGGGGGTTGAAACGGCTCTCTCCTTGCTGTTGTTTGGAGGCTGGGGGATCCCTGAGCCGGCTGAAGCGAGACCAGGGATCTGTAAACCTGTGGACTGGGGCAGTGCTGGGACCAAAATAGCTTCTGCTATTTTGGAGGGGGCGCCTTCAAGTGCTGCTTGGGGAACGTTTCTGCTTGAATGGGCCAACTGAGGTAAAGCCAAGCTAATGCTTTGTTCCCCAGAATCATTTCAGTTACATTCAGTAGGGTTTTAAAGAGATACAGCTTTCCTTTGAGATATTTAAAAAATAATAACTAAGAAGCCACCACCTCCCTGACTGCAATCTCTCTTCTATTCATCAATTTGCTTTTGAAAAGGGGCCTGGATTGTGGGTGTAGGCAGTGCTGGCCAGGCCTTTTGGCTCGGGGTGCCCGCCTGGCTCTTTTAGGGATGTTTCCAGTGCCATTTCCAAACTGACATGTCTGGCGTTCCGATCCTTGGGTTGCTTGGAGAAATTAACGGCTTCTGTCTCTGTGCTGTCTTGGTCTCCTGTAAGCACGCTGTTTTTGCAGAGACCATGTTTTTTGTTGTTCTTGAAGAATGCTGGGGATAAATTGCTGGCTCTATGCTCAGGAACAGACACTAGCTTTGACCAGCTACAGTGCAGCCTGTATTCTCAGAAAATGTATTCAGGAGGGATGATGTCAGCTGCTTCACCACTGGCCAGTCTCTTGCTTTGGCCCTTGAGCTTACATCATAAAGAGATTTGTGGCTCTTCGAGCCCCATTCTGTGTGGGAAGATGGGAATTTTGCTACTACAGGAATTTTTAGAACTCAACTCTGCTCACCCTGCCATCAGGCATCCTAACCTAGCTCAGTCCTTCCAAGTAGAGCTGTCCAGCAGATGCGCAGGGTGGCTTTGTTTTTAAAAGCAGGGCAGCTCAGACCTTGACGGTTTTGGCATCAGACTTAGGTTCAGACTTCAGATACACTCCTTCCTAGTCTTGTGACTTAGGACAAATGACTTGGCTTCAATGAGCCTCAGTTTCCTCTTGTTTAACCTTGGGGCTGTGTGTGGATTTCATTGGTTTTCCTGCAGCACTTAGCAGGCCCTCCAGTTGGTGAATCGTACCAATTGTAGCAATAAATGAGTGAGATAAATGGCTTCAGGGCCTATCAACCCAAGTTCAGTTCCACCTCTGACCCTTTGAAGCTCTGTTAGCAGGTTGCTTAATAACTGAGACTTAGTTTCCTTAGTTGTAGTGATTAAACAGGAAGATGCAGTTAAAGCAGAAATCCCAATGCCCAGTACACAGTAGGGCTTCAATAATTGTTAGTTTCCTTCTCTCTTTCCTTAATTATCTTTTAGCATTCATTTCTTCCACCTTTTTCCTCACCTCCCTAGGTTGGTTCAAGATTCTTCTTAGATGGGTTTCCTATCCTTGACTAAGATTTTGAACACCAACTGGGCTATCTGGATCCCTTTTCCTTGTTTATTGTTTGTCAGCAACAAGGGTGTGGACTGGATGTGATTACAGAGCAGCGCAGCAGACACTGAGCTTGAGGGTGGTTGATTTTGTAAAAAAAAAAGCCACTATAGGCTCAGGGCTGACTTCTTTCGAGAAATATCCCAGCAGTGTTTAGGAGTCTTCATGTCCCTCCAAATTGTTCTCACATGTACCAAACAACAGTCCCTGAGGCCAGAGGCAGAACGGAACCTTCTCTTAGATAAATAAAACATGGTAAATGCATATGGGTTTTTATTTGCAAGGACTTCTCTCAGGCTGCAATGTAATTTTATTTTTCAAAAGACAATACATACTCTGATACTAGATAATAAACTCTTTCAACTACAATTGAGGGCAGGGCTATGTCTTCTCAACTGTTGTCCCCTGCTACCACTACCCATCCCATACCCCCTCCATGGCACCATCCCAGGGCATGGTATAAGATAGGTGCTGTGTAAATGTTGGCCTCAGGAATCTTGGGGTAGTGGGAGGAACACAGGTGCCAAGTCAGAAGGGCAGGCTTGGAATCTGGGGTCACAGCTACTTACAGCATGACATGTTATGTAGTCTCTGTTCCTTCTCTCTCTGGCTGGTCTCCAGGATTCTTGGGAAAGCTGAATGAGAAACTAAAGGAGTGTTATCATGAATGCTTACGTCCATTGTGTCATTCATTTTACCTGTTTTATCAAACCCCTGTTATGTGCCAGGGTCTGTGTTAGGCATCATGGTGAACAGTACAGATGTAGTCCATACCTTTGTGGCACATACAGTTAATGGGGGGGATGTAAATAGAGGAAGCCAGTAAATGAATAAAGTTAATAATTACAGATTGTGATTATCCCAGGATAACGGGATAACTAGGGACTGGGAATATTGAAGTTACTGAGCTGAGGTTATCAGGAAGGGCCTGTGAGGGATGACGTTGGAGCTGAGGCCGGAATGATGAGATTGAAGTAACTATAGGAAGATTCAGAGGGAACATGTAAAAGGAACAACATGTACAAAGGTCCTGAGACAGAAACACGCTTGATGTGTGTTTTAAAGAACAGTCAGAAAGGCCTGACCATGGAGAGCCTTTGACCTTGGTTAGGAAGTAGAGTTTTGCACTAAGAGGACTTATGTTTGCCTTGGGTGCTCCTCAGGCATATTTTTCTGGAAGCATTGGGTTCCTTAGCAGGGTTGTCCTAGGGAGCCTCTCTCTATCCCTAGGTCTGCACAGCTCACCCCTCACCTCACAATTAAGACTCCTGAGAGTCCTTGGGAACTGTGGAGAAGCCAGATGAGTAGCTCATAGAGACATGGATGACTCTATTGACCTCATGTCAGTTGACAGCCTTGTTGGCCTTTAAGATGTGCTAAGGTGATCTCAGATCTGCTAAGGGATTCTGGGTCCACCCCATACCACTGCGGTTTCTTTCTTGGTCCCTTGCCATGTCCCACTGCGAGCAGGAGCCTTCTGCCCTCAGGTGGCAGGGATTTATGAAACGCAGGCCTTGCCACTGGCACCGTGCTGAGGTTCCCTTACTGCGTAATTCAGTCATGATCCCTGCACCATGGAGCTTGTGGCCAGGAGAGGCAGGACAGGTGAGTGTGAAAATGTATACCCACCGTCCACTCCAAGATAATTGCCCCACTCTGCTTATCCCTTCTTGAAAATGCCTGGCATCTTGGTGGGTATAGTACCTGCAGACACCAGGATCGGTTTGTATGTATCAAGGGCTTACTTCGAGCTGGCGCTCTGTGGAGAGCTCTATATACTGAAAGCACATAATCCTTCCACTGACCATCTATTATTAGGTACTATTAGCTACTATCACTAAGCCCCTTTCCAAATGAGAAAACTGAGGCTCAGAAAGGTTGTGTAATTTGCCCAAGTAAGCTAGAGAAGTAGACCCAGGATTCACACCCAGGCTGTCTGGCTTTGGAGTTAGTAACCCCTATGCTTTTGCCTTCCCTGGCCCTGGTACTCTTCCCTCCAATCCAGATTGGCTCCCAGGATTGTGGCACCAAGAATATTGCTGGATCTGTCTGTGTTTACTAACAAGTGGCCAAACAGACATCAAGATTGTATAAATCCTGTGCGTATCACTTCAGAGAGTTCTTTCCTCTCCCAGTGGGTCTGTTCAATGGATACCGCTCTTAAGATAAAGGGGAATGAAGGCCATCAAAGGCAGATAAAAGTGTTCTCCAGGAGTCGCAGCTCTCATGGTCTTTTTCAAAATTGCAGATAGGACCCTGTGCCTCTCCCCCTTGCCCTCCACATGGCTCTTTGAATAACATGTAACAGTCTGAACCTGCTCATGCCTGAGCTTCATGGCTTCTTATCCGCTCTGTCCCCTGCCCGGGCCGCACTGGCCTGCC